CTACTAGATGGCGTTGTTATCTTCAAAATAAAACATACACCGGACTTTAAGTTAGACATACGAGAATATAACTATAAAAACCGCATTCAGTTTGATACAGTAATTTTTGTGTGATACTAGAACAAATATTTTGCCTCACTCTGCGTGTTCTACCGCCTTTACAATGGATTGTGCTCAGAGGAATTGTTCAATATGATGCCCACTTTCTACCATCGTACGGCTCGCCATCGACTGGGAGTTCATCCTCATGTTCATGCCTCAATGGTCGCGTACTGCGCGATTTCAGAAATGTTTCATCCCACGAACACTCAGATTGTGGAATGAGCTCCCTGCTGAGGTTTTCCCAAGAGACTACAGCATGGGGTTCTTCAAAAGGTGGGTAAAGAGGTTTCTTCAGGGTCGGCAACGCATGCGTAATACCCCTGGTATTGCAGGTGTTCATAGACTACGTTAATCGCTTACCATCAAGTGGGCCGTATGCTTGTTTGCCATCTCAGTGGTTTAAAAAAAAATAACCAGACAAATAGATAGATAGATAAAAGTTTTAAAAAATATTTTTTTTCATAAATTTTATTTCTCTCATGTACAGATATCGGCCAGTTACAATTTCATTATATTAGCAGGATTAGTGAGATAAGATTTTGGCGCGCGCAAATATGCAAGACGTTAAAGCCTGCTTAAAATGCTAAGCAAGTGAATTCCATAGATAAATAGATAAATTTTTATGATCGCCAAACCGCAGACGAGACGTGTCCCTGCACTATGATTTACGATCGCTCAACTCAAAGTCATGTTTCAAACTTACTATGCTAAGGTTGTATGGACAATTGCGAAGATCACTATCTCTCAGATAAAATCTTTTAGACAAACAATAAAACATTATATTATCTGTGGGTGACATAATATTATAATTTTGTCATTCTTTAACGACTCTTTATAGATTGCAATACCATAGCAACGCGACGCATATAGAGCGTACGGTCAGGTTTTTTTTTTTTAAATCAATAAAATAACAACATATTATTGGCTCTGTAGCCTTGAAAATAAGCTTTCAATTTTACCAGAGGGAGACTTTGTACAAAAGTCGATTGCTTGGGCACCTATGTCCCATTTATATTTCTACCGTGAAGCAGTTGTGTTTGCATGGCTGTGTTTCGGTTTGAAGGGTGGGATATGGCGTGAATTTACTGAGTACAAAGGAATAACAGCTGAGTCTTCAGGAATGGCAACGCTTGAGAGGTATCATGGGCGAAACAGTATACCCTGTTATGTCCATAGTACTGCTCAAGTCTATAGGCGACTGTTACCACTTTCCATCATGTGGGCCGTTAGCTTGTTGGCCATTCTAAGTTGTATAAAAAAAAAAACAATAAAATAACAACATATTATTAGCTCTGTAGCCTTGAAAATAAGCTTTCAATTTAAATACAAAACGATAAGTTTATGTGGAACGTTATCATTTTATTGTATTGCTAAAGATAAATAAGATCACTCGGGTATTATATAAAGTGAAAATATATTTTTTTATTGAACTTATTTGAATAAACCTCTGAAATTTATATGACGAACGAGTTTTTTTATTACAACACAGGGGGCAAACGATCATGCGGCTCACCTGATGGTAAGTGACTACCGCCGCCCATGATCACCCACAACACCAACGGCATTGCAGGTGTGCTGCCGGCACCAGTGAGTGATGACAGGTAAAGATGAAAGTAAATTAGTTAGCACATCGTGATAAATTCCACGAGAATTAACCAAGATGGTTTCCAAGGAGAACCGCGTAGACGACGACCTGATAGGTATATGGCTAGCAATGGAGCTGTTAGATTCCCATTACTAACAATCCCTGCCCCCCTAACACAATCTGTTACAAAGAATCAATCCACTTAACGACTGGTGACGATAAAATAAATACTAAAACTTATTTTTTATCCTTGGAAAGCTAGCAATGGGATTCTCAATCTCCATTACTAACAATCTCTTTCCCCCCAATGTGTATGAGTTAATTACGTTTCAAGAAACTTCATACACGTGTATGAATATAATGTAATTAGTTGCAATTACGAGATGGTGTATCTACATATCGTCACAAATTATTGGCACAAAAATTACGTTTCTTTGTGACAAAACCTGAGTCATTCGCGACAAAAATAGACCCAACTACGTATAACACTACGATTTACGATGTATATGACGTATTTATAATACTATAAATTCTAATTATACCTACCAGAAGTTCGGGTTTTCACTGCGCTGTAATATCATATAATTTTGCGCTTACAGGTTGCGGTTTGTCCAGAATATGCCCACCATAGGATCCACGTAATCTTCGTGTGGTTACCGTTTCCTGGTGATGGTTATATTATTACTTCTAACGATGATAATGAGTATGTTTTCATCTCCAAAAGAGCATAACAGACATACATATATATATATATCTGTCACGCCTGTCTCCCATTAGGGTAGGCAGAAACAATGGAACGCCAAATGCTTCGATTCAATTAAACCTCTTTCGCTTCTTCCACATTCATCAATCTTTTCATACACGCTCGCCAGTTACGGGTACTTTTAATTTGACATACGTCCGTCTAGGGCGGCCCCTACCGACATCTCCATTCATTCTTGCTCGATAAATCTCTTTCGTAATTCTTCTTTCACCCATCCTCTCCAAATGACCAAACCAACGCAACATTCCTTCTTCGATTTTTGTCACTACATCATCATAACAGACACATATGCATAAATATGAACATTTCTCTTAATTGTTTGTATCTATTTATAATAAGTTTACTATTGTAATTTTTTGAAGGAAACACTAAAGAATATTTATCTATATATCTTTCTATAGGGGGAAAAAGCACTATAAAGAGGGATAAAAAAACCCCGAAATAAAACTCTACATTTGTTTAATATTATATTTTTATGACAGAGATCAGTGCCCAGCAGTGGGATATAGAAGTTACAATGAAGATGGTAATAATTGTTTTTCCAAATAGGTTTAGAACTGAAAGAGTTATGAGGTTACAAGCAAAAAAAGTTACCATTAATACATTCGTATAATAGAAAAAAAAAAACAAAATGCACTCTTTACATATGTCATCATGACACTCACTTGAGTTTTATCAAGTAAAGTCGCGTATCGCGTAAAGGTCATCGACATTTATATAGCGCGACATATATTGCTTTACTTACTAGTAAATAACAATGCGGAAGAGCTTTTAATTATTTTTTTTTTATTACGTATTTAAAGAAAATTTAAATTTTAAAACTATATGAACAGAGTAGTTTGAGATTAGATTATTATAACTGAACACGTTTTTTTTTTTTATTTTAATGGGTAATAATGGAATGGTAACCCCACCCGCGCTATCGGTATACACCGGCGGGGCACCAGTGAAGGATAATAGGTAATGATGAAGCAGGTCAGTTAGCCCATCGTGACGTATTCAACAAGAATTGTTCCAAGATGGTTTCCAAGGGGAACTACGTGGAGGTCGACCTAATCGGGCATATTGCTAGCAATAGGGTTGTTAAACTCCATTGCTAACAATCCCTTTCCCCCCAACCGAACAAGTTTATATACCTAAAATTACAGTATAAATATATTTTTAACTCTCGTGAAGGTGACATGTATATTATCCATGGTAAGACCTTGAATGCATATGTGTGTGACGTGCCAACTATTGAATGGATTTGAGAGACACATAGATGCAAGATTTTCTTTGTTCGTTTCATGTAAAGTGCATACAACAAGAGCTAGACAAGTGTTTTAAATCAGAGAGCACATAGATTTATTTATTTATTTATTTAAGGAACACCAACACATTAAATATAATACAATATTAATGCACACGCCTATTATAGGTATTCACAGCATTCACTTTAACAACACTTTGCAGTGTACAACTATGTACACTGCAAGAAAATGAAGTAAATAAAAAAACAGGGGTGAAAAGGGATTGTTAGTAATGGAGACTAAGAATCCCATTGCTAGCAATATATCCAACCAGGTCGACCTCCTCGCGGTTCCCCCTGGAAACTATCATGATTAATTCCTGATGAATTCATCATGATGGGCTAACTGGCCTGTTTTCATCTTCATCGATCACCCTTCACTGGTGCCTCGTCAGCGTATCCCGTTAGCGCAGGCGGGGTTACCACTCCATTTTCATCCAATAAAAATAAAATAAAAAAAAACATGTTTGAACCTAAGTTGTGAGCAATATCAGAAAATACGATTATGAGTGAATTGAATTAGGACTAGAATTAGAGTTAGAATTGAATTGAATTCGATTTAGGACTAGTGCATATAGCATTTTATGTTTATGACCTTAAGCTTTTACCCGTAACTAAAAGCATTTGTCTACTGCATTGACTATTATTTATTGTTTTAATTTGTATTCTTATCCTTTTAATTTATTATTAATAATAATTGTCGGTGAACGGCCTTATCCCAACCAGTCTGGAACATCTCAGACGGTTGGGATTCCGAGGCGGCTCACTCCCGAGAAAGATGCAGCGGTGCTCTTAGATTCTGCCCGCATTGTACGCCGGTTTCTCTCCCTGGGGCCCTGAATCTCGGCCGATTGTGCTTCTGCCGGGGGTTAGTTTGCCATCTCCTCTCCTTAAGAGGGGAGATGTGAATTTTTGTAGAATTAAAAAAAAAATATTGTAATAATATAATCAATCAAACATATTGAAAATAATATTTAGGTATAGGTAGATATCAATTATTTGATTTATATAAATATGACTAAATATATAATTAATTTTATAATAAACAGTTATTTTATTAAAGGCAAGTAAACGCCATAAAATCGATTTCATTTTCATTCTGTATTTAAATATAGAAGGAGTTCTATTAATTAAAATTTAAAATCATTACTAATATTCTAATTTTTTTTTATGAAATATTCTAATTTTGTTTTTAATCTGTTTTAAAATATAGAATTACGTTCCATATCCTTGACAAAGTATTAGTTTTTTATAGTTTCCTGAACGTTTGACAGACCTGGATTCAGCTGTCTTTGATTTTATAAGCCTCATACACTGTTATCTATGGAGTTAGTCAACAATCACTAACAATTCGTTCCCCCCAAGGCATACACACGTAACATACATTACTTTCTACAAATGAATAAAAACTAATGTAGATTACGACGAAATTACATCTTGCACCATGCGACACAATGTCTCACGTGTATTACCTATAATTCACTATCGTTCCGTACATTAGCGGAATAATGACATAATAATAAGGTAGCGGACTCAGGACGATTTCCGGCTGCGGGTGGCTCGTGTGCGAGCGGCCAGCGGAGCGGGAGCGGTAGCGTTCTTAATAAATTACGTCGAAAAGAAAACAGAAAAAGTGCCTATCCGTGGATACAAAGAAAAAATCTCAAATGTCATGGTTAGCAACAGTTTATTATAAAAATATGAAACGGTTAAATCTTGTGAAGTAGGATGCATGTATTATTCTATTCCTATAGATGGCGCTGCAGGATTAGAAAAGCTGACCCCGAGTAACGGGAAAAGGGGGACAGAAGAAAAAGAAGACAATTCTTAATTTGACTGTTTATTTTGAACAAATTGTAAGACAATCAACACCGGTCTTAATTTTTAAGAGACTTTAAAGAGAAAATTAGCTTATATCATTTTTGTGTCTATGTTACATGATATTTTCGTCAATTTTAAATAATTTTGATCATTCTTTTTATTATCAAAATGTTTTTTTCCGCCTATTATTGCTCCAATATGACAATATGGCACGGTCAACGTTGTGTTTTTTTTTTGTAGAAGAAAATTTTATTATACATACTTAACTGCGTTAGATAAAAGAAGCTACCGCATTCAAAAGTTTAAAAAAAATTGCTTTTTTAGCTAATTAAGCAATTTTACTACTTGTGTATTAATAAAAAAGAACTTGTGATTAAAAAGACCGAATTTGGTTTGTTTAAAACATTAATTAACGCTCATGTTATGGAATGAGCTCCCTGTTGAGATTTTTCCAAAAGACTACAGTATGGGGTTTTTCAAAAACCTCTGTGGGTTGAAAAAAAAATTAACTATATTTATTAACTTCACGCATCACTAATATGACGCCAATACGCCATTAGCATTGGCATGTACGAGTATCATTCTATATTCATTCATTAAAAATAACCAGTCTGACACTGACAGTATAAGCCGAAAGCGCAGGCGGAAGAATTTCGTAGTAAATAAAAAAAAAACAGTCGTCAACTTTCTCTTCTCGATCTTAATATAACTAATTTATAAGCAAACTAGTTATTACGGTTATACTGTGCTTCTTTTTTGTACTTTGAAGCGATTGTGAAAGAAATCATTGGATTGAACAAAAAGGGTTTGGCGGGAAAAGAGCACAGAGCATAGAACCATCTAAGTGACATAGAAAAAGAAACCGTAATAATTTTATAACAAAATACTGGATAGTATAAAGCATAGAGAAAAACAAGGCATTCCAGAAACAACTTCGTATAATTTAAAAAGGGTATTACATTCCAGACAAATTATCATATTGAAGACTAGGCAGCATGGTCTGCGACCTTAGCCTGTTCCACAACGGAACAAACGTATTAAAAAAATTTTTTTTTCCTTTCTTATGGTACGGCACAAAGTGCATCCGCCAAAAACAAAGTTTGGGAAACAGCATTTTAGGAAAGGAGTTTTGGACGAAGGAATTTAGGATAAGGATCAGAAAAGTTGAATAATGAATAATATAAGGAAAAGGACAGATACCTAAATAGAAATTAACTAGAATTCATGACTGATAAAAGTATAATATGAAAATAAATTATTACGATAGTAAACTTTGAAATTTATCTATACTATGTAATTATTGATTGAAATATTCAAATGTTTGTAATTGCATAAATACAATGTACCTACCAAATGCAACGCCCGAACTGGGTTTATGTTATCTATGTGGCATGCATTGAATAAATAAATAAGTACATTTAGCTCTGTAAAAGAAATAGCGACTTAATATAAACTAGTTAGTCTATTCTAATTTTAAAATGAATAAAAAAACAGCGACAATCTGTACAAAAAATATCTTGATTATCCCTAAAAAAAGATATCTTTTTTAAACATAACCTAGTCGACCCGTACACACATTAGGTTTAAAATTTATGGATTGGTAGTTTCTTCCAATATAATTTAATAAAAATGTAAAAAATATAAAAAACAATTAATTGAATATTTCGATTTGTTACTAATTTCAGCAACAATTGAGTTTCTTATCCGTTTTTCTTAACTGAAATTGAGTTTCGAACGAGCGGTAGAATCATGAAAAAATAACATTAACAAAATACTTAAATTTAATTTTATTTAAATAAAAATAAATACATATCTGTCACGCCTGTCTCCCATTAGAGTAGGCAGAAACAATGGAACGCCAAATGCATTGATTCAAACAGACTTCTTTCGCTTCTTCAACATTCATCAATCTTTTCATACACGCTCGCTGGTTACGGGTACTTTTAATTTGGCCCTTCTTCAGCACGTCGCCTATTTGGTCAACATACGTCCGTCTAGGGCGGTCCCTACCTACATCTCCATTCATTCTTGCTCGATAAAACTCTTTTGAAATTCTTCTTTCATCCATCCTCTCCAAATGGCCAAACCAACGCAACATTCCTTTTAAAAATATTAATTTCATTTAAAAAAAAATCTGTAATAATTTCAACAGATTTTGTTACCTTATCGACAACTACTGTGGAAACAAACTAAAAAATGCCTAATAGTATAATTATAAGTAGAATTTATACAGATCGTGTCTCACAAAAAAAATAACCGACTTCAATTGTGGGCTAACCCAGTGATTTAGATCTAAAAGCTGGTATCTCTTATTCCATTCGTGATTTAATCGTGAAGCAGTTGTTTTTGCATGGCTGTGTTACGATTTGAAGGGTGGCAGTGAATTTACAGGGTACAGAGGAATCATATCTGAGTTCTCAGGAATGGCAACGCATGGGGAGTATCATGGGCGAAACAATATACTCTGTTATGTCCATGGTACTGCTCATGTCTATAGGCGACGGTTACCACTTTCCATCAGATGGGCCGTCAGCTTGTTTGCCATTCTAAATTGTATAAAAAAAATAATCACAGCCACAAAAAGTACAGTCGAGTTGGCGGCCTCTTTTTAAATCTCAGATGCGATACAATGGCGAGGACTTCCCGGCCATCTGGCGCCTAACCGCCAACACTCAAGACTTGACACCCGCCGGGTGATGACTGCGTATCTACTGTAATTAGAGATGGGCAATCCACCTGGGTGGGTTTAAAGTCTGGTGGGTAAAAACCGGGTGTTTTGGGTTTATTGGGTTTAAACCCCATAAACACCCAAATTTTTGGGTGTTTATGATTTTGTACTTCATCATCGTCATCTCAGCCGCAAGACGTCCACTATACTGGACATAGACAATATTATTATGCAGCCTACAGAATAAAAAACTTTTAATTTGATTTTGAGTTTATTAAGAAAGAGATGAAAGTAAAATGTAAAACTACAGTCAATCACTGTCAGATTCAGAGTTATTACAAGCGATGAATTGTATAGGTTCGATAGGCTCTATTTCGTCTAAACTGTTATGTTCATTTACTTGCTCAATGAAAGCTTCTAAGGTATTTTCTTCATTAAACTGAATGTCCTCGCATTCAGCTTTATGTTTAAGATTCCAGTTATAACAAATGAATGAAATTTTTTCAGTTCTTTCAGTTGTAAGTCGATTTCTTTTGTTATTATGTATGTAGCCTTGGATACTAAAGGAACGCTCAGTGGCTGCCGAAGTACAGGGAGCTGATAGAATACGAATCGCTACTTTGCTTAACTCAGTGGAACCACAAATACCTTTCCACCATATTAGGGGCTCAATGCTATCTAATGAGCTCCATACAAATCCTCTGGCCCAAAAGTTTTCTTTAGCTTTATAACACGCCAAATCTGCCATTACATTTGACAAACTTAAGTGTTGGCTTAAATTGTAGATAAACTCCATACCCTTAAGTTCTTCCTCTTGAGTAAGTTCGACTCCTAGAGTCCTGGGGTCTAGAATATATGCTGCAAAATGTATTGGCCTCATTGCCATATTGCATCTTGAAGATACTGATGTTAGAATCTGCTGTTTGCTTTCTTCGCTCAATGTCGAAATCTCATTTAATGCAAAACGTATCTTAGCTTGTACATCTCTAAATGTAATGTATGTGCGATGCAAACGATTCTGGTCGCTCTCTAAGTAAAATATGCTTTCAGTGACTGGTTCCAAAATACTTATACATTCCCCTGTCTTCGTCCAGAAATCATCACTTAGAATTAAATCTTTAATATCTCTTGAAATTACCACATCTTCTCTAACTGTTAATATTTGCAAAGCTATCTTATTTGCTTTCAAACTTTTTAACGAAGTAACATGACTTCCCCATCTTGTAGCACAAGGCAATTTTAGTGTTTGTGTAGAATCTTCACCCTGCCTTGATTTTATCAACAAGGAACTTAATCGTTGACTCCTTTTAACAGTTTTTATTATATTTATGGCTTGCATAATAAACACAGTTACTTCTTGTATCTTTACAATATCTTGGCACAACAAGTTAAGGATATGTGCACAGCAACCGAGAGGAACAACATGTGGATATTTGAGTTTTGTTAATTCGAATGCCTTTTGTATATTTCTAGCGTTATCGCCAATAAGTACAAGAAACTTATTTGCTCCATACACTTTCATTACTTTTTCAACTTCTTGGCTAAGGTATTCACTAGTGTGAGGATTACTTTCTGTATTCAAACTTTTAACGTATGCAGGTTGAGGTTTTGATATAAGAAAGTTTATTATTCCTTCATTTCTTAAATTAGACCAGCCATCGCACTGAAGGTGTAAGTAACTACAAGCATTTAGTTCCTCATTTAACTCAAAACGCATTTCTCTATATATTTTATCTAAGTATTTTGTCGCTAAAGCTTTACGTGAAGGTATTTTAAATTTTGGTTGCAATTTTTCGAAAAATTGTATCCATAAAGGATGTTGCACCATCGATAATGGCGTCCCTGTTACAAATATAGCTCTCGCTAATTCTGTTTTTATATGATCATCGGTGTCTTGAAACTCAGCATTTATTGTAGTGTTAGCAGACGACGAGGGGCTTATAAAAGAATCATTTGTCTCTATCTCTGACAGTCCAGACATTTTGGTTTTGGACGAGCTATCTTTTATAAGTTTCATAGAGTCTTTTAATGTTTCTGGAGATTTTGGACAAGTGATAAGATGTTGAAGCATTTTGGCAGCATTACTGAATTTGTAGACCTTATTACAAAGCTTGCAAGAAACAGACTTGTTTGGTAAAGTACGGTAGTGCTCCCATATGCGTAAATCTTTAGGTCTCCCCATTGAACCTAAAAAAATGAACGATGATTAGTTGGTCTGACGAAAATTCAACAATAGAGTGCCTATTTTTTTACAATGATTATTTCTTGTTATTTACAATAAATTTATTAAAAAAATAATAAAATAAATACAAAAAACCTTTGTAAAATTACATCTCCTCGGAGGATTAAACGCAGACGCTAGTTTATTATCGTATTGTTCTGTATTTTTCTCAGCAACTTCTTTAATTCGATTAGGTACTTACGCATATTATGTTAAAAATAAATATCTAGTACACATCTTAGGCTATCCACCATTATTATCCAATGACGACTCTCAGCTAACTATGCACTATCATCCAAAATAAACGTGTATGGAAAATTTTATCCCAGTCGGTTGAGGATTGAGGATAATTGCATCAACATACGAACATACCTACATACTTTTATTTACATAACGCAAGCTAAATAAAAGCTTGTAATAATACATCTAATTTTAAGTTAAAATTGTTAAGTGATCATGATATAATTGTATCATTCAAAAATCCACTTACCTTTAATTATTTCTTGTTAAGTATAAATATTATTTCAAATCTGCTCCCTTAATATGCACTTTTTTACTGCTTTTCCTACCTAACACGTTACCAGGAAGTCACGTTACCAGAGTCAGAGTAATAGTGAACACGTTTGACAGTGATTGTCGTCGCCTCATATTCAGCGTCGACGAATAGGGGAATCCCCAGTCATAATGTATTGCATGCGTGGCGGTCTTACTTCAAATCCATAAACAAAGAGATAATTACAGAACTCGATACTAGATGGCGCTGTTTTTGTTTGAAGAAAGTTTGCGGGCTAAAATACATAGAATTTCATCAATGACTTCCACAAAGAACAACATTTCTGTTTTTTCTAAGTCCGTATCTCTTCCGTATATTTCATAAGATATAAGCTTGGGCTACATTGTTATGCAACGTGATTTTGTCGCTGTCTTGCTAGCAGGGTTGACAGATATACGATTTAAATCGTACTCATACTATTATTTGTCTATTTTTTAATGTACGATCGTAAAGATTATGATCGTAATTCGCACAAAAACATACGACTTTTTGGTTACCTGGCAACATTTTTATTATGAAACGAACATGCTCACATCATCAGTCACATGCAACAATTTATTGGGGATTTCCCCTTCACATCTGGCAGTCCTGCTTGCTAGAATATAGGTAAGTCAGCCACAGTTACTGACGATCGATATTTAAAGGGTATTGTTTTTGTGCTAAATATTTCATAAAAACGTTATTTAATACTTTGTGGATTATTAATTTAGTTGATAATCACTGGAAGTAAAATGGATGCTAATTTGAGAGATCAAGATCTTCGTATAAAACAGTTAATAAAAGAAAATCTACGTAAGTACTCTTTTTATACCTAGGTAGGTAAGGTATAATAAACACAAAAGGTACTTAGATCGCGTGTGTTCGAAGCATTTATTCTAATAAATTTAATTTAAAATTGTAGAAAGAAAAAAATGTCTGCCAAGCCGTAGCCGAAGCCGATCTCCAAATATATTTGGCGATAGTGAGACCCAGTGTCCAGATGATTTACCCAGCGTCGTCGCAACAAAGAAAAAAACGAGGATAAAGTAAAAGAAAATTTACTGAAAGAAGAAACAAACTGTTCTAAATGCTTAATTTATGGAGAAGAGGATAAAAGAAATGAGTATTTCGGACTGTTAGTGGCTCAAGAATTTAAATATATACGGCCATGTGTGCGAACGAGGTGTTATGAAGAAATTTTAAAGTATCTACGGGAAGCAAAAGGCCAACATGTTGATCAACTGCAACATGAAAACACTGAAAATTAATTACTTTCATTTTATTATATATAGATTTTTAAAATTTCCTGAAATATTATTAGTTAACGTTTTATTTAATATTGTAGAATTGATCAATACAATTTATAAAAATAATTTATTGGTATTACTTACATATTTTCAAAAAAATACGTAAAAACCTATTTTTTTGGGTGATTATGGGAGTTTATGGGTGTTTATTGGGTTTTTACCAAAGCACCGGGTTTAAACCCGGTGCTTTGCCCATCTGTAACTGTAATGAATCATAGCACGCGATTTGTTTACATTGTATTACCTACTTCATTAGCAGTTAATTAAGGCACTTTTGCAATGGCCACCTCAAGGCTAATCGAAGCGCAGACACGCGTCACAAATTCTGTAGAATGTCATTAGTAATAAATACTTATAATAATAATATATTATAGTTGGTAATCCCATGAAAATAAGGCGGGTCATGGGGGCAAAGTCCACGTTGTGTCTACAGACGACACGTTTTGACGTAGTACGTTCAGTAGACATGATTGGAGGTAATGAAGAGGATGATAATCATTGCTAGCAATATTGCAGTCATGTCGACCTTCACACCAGAGGGAGACTTTGTACAAAAGTCGATTGCTTGGGTACCTCTGTCCCATTCGTGTTTCAACCGTGAAGCAGTTGTGTTTGCATGGCTGTGTTTCGGTTTGAAGAGTGAGATATGGTGTGAATTTACTGGGTACAGAGGAATAACACCTGAGTCCTCAGGAATGGCAACGCATGGGGGGTATCATGGGCGAAACAGTATACTCTGTTATGTCCATGGTACTGCTCATGTCTATAGGCGACGGTTACCACTTTCCATCAGGTGGGCCGTCAGCTTGTTTGCCATTCTAAGTTGTATAAAACAAAAAAAAATCGTGTTAATTCTATTGAATTCTTATTGAATTGAATAGTTTATATGAAGCTAAGTGATGGATATAGTGTAGGAGCTCTACAGGTCGTTTCAATTATAAACTAGGGCCCGAATGAAATACAAATATGATGTTAAAATTACATAATACATACTTTTTAAATATGTTAAAAATGTTAAAATATCATTTCTTTGGACTTTTATGGTAAGGTTTATGACGAGCGAAATGTTAAGCTCCATTTACTGGGCCGATTTAGGTATGAATAAAAACACGAAATTGAGTCTGAAAATTCGGAATTTCATTTCATGGTAGACCTCCTATAGAGTAGCTTTTGCTCGCGACTTCGCGTGATCGGCATATATTCACCGATCTAAATAAAAAGTTGGCTATATTTTCCTCCATAAATATACTAAATATCATAGTGATTTGCTTAACAAATGGCGCTATGAGGTAAAAAACAAACAAATACACATTTATATTATTATTAATAAAATTAAATGTGGTCTTCTCTCTGGAACTAGTATTAACTGTATATCTACACTAATAATATAAAGAGGAAAGCTTTGTATTTTTGTGTGTATGTTTGTAATGAATAAACTCAAAAACTACTTTGCCGATTTCAAAAATTCTTTCACCATTAGAAAGCTACATTCACCCTGAGTAACATAGGCTATATTTATTGGTAGGAAAGATTAGGGATCATTACTAAAACTTTAGTAACGTAACTCAAGGTGTAAAAAAATGCTATAAAAGAGATATTTTCGAAAGATTTCGTCGCGGGCGCTGCGAAAACTATTGGTGATATTTTTCGCAGCGCCCGCGATTGCTTGGGTACCTCTGTCCCATTCGTATTTCAACCGTGATGCAGTTGTGTTTGCATGGCTGTGTTTCGGTTTGAAGGGTGGGATATGGCGTGAATTTACAGGGTACAGACGAAAAACACCTGAGTCCTCAGCAATGGCAACGCATGGGGGGGTATCATGGGCGAAACAGTATACTCTGTTATGTCTATGCAAGAAGACCGCCTCTTGTACTACATTTATTGAAAACCCTTTAACGATTCATAAAATATTAGTGCAATATAGTGTTACACAAATATATAAATAAGTGTAGATAGTTAACAAACTTATTTCAACACGAGTCTATTATTATTTTTGTCGCGACAAATGTTTATCATAAGAACAGTAGATTCAGTCAATATAAGTGTGTTGTGATAATGTTCGTAACGTTATACAAACAACGCAGAGGTAAACTATGTGATTTTACATCAAAAACAATGTTATAATCGCATCAGTGTAGATATGTAACAAACACAATAATAGTTATTAAGCACTTTGTTGGTAACTACTAGATAATATAATTGTATTTGATTTAATAAAAATTTGTTTACGTTGTGGTACTTAATAAATATCGTAAATTGGATGACTAAGGTAAGCCACGTGACTACAACATGATATCGATTCGAATAATAATCGCTTTTAGTGGAAGAGATGTTATAAAAAAAAAATCAAACGATGTCTATGTTCAATCACGAGCGGTAAAAAGATAACGAAGTAAAATACGTTTTTTTTTTTTTTATATTATAAAGGTAGTAAACAAGCATACAGCCCGTCTGATAGTAAAAGATCACTGTAGTCTATGGACGCCTGCAATACTAGGGGTGTCACGTACGCGTTGCCGACTTGAAGACACCTTAATACACCCTTTATGAAAACATGGTAGAAACTTACATACACAGTCTAACCATAGATTATATAGATAGAGCATCGAACCTCAAAAACGAGTAAATTTTTTAACGTTTTTTAATCAGTGTTCTATATACTTACGCATAAAATGTATCTTGACGTACTATTTAATAAATAAAATGAGTATTCACACATAAAAAAAGATGCAGAATTTATAAGACAAAACTTATCATGTAAAATTGTGTTAAAAAATCGACCCGTTTTTCTCGAAGCATTTCTGTAGAGACTATCTATATAATATATAAGCCTAGCTAAGTTCACGTTTGTTACCATTGTATTATATAGGTGTTAAATTACCTCAAACACGCATTATATTTAAACAGTTAATTGTAACATTTTATTACCTAGCTGTACAGGTTCTTTAAATATCATCATTATTCGATTTACAATAAAGACTACATGAGTTGTGACATGAATAACCTATCAAATGACTATGTACTCATATACCTAAATACCTATTTTACACGTTCAACCTTATTTAAAAATTAATTCTATGATAAATAATATACACACTAAAGATCAATTACATTATGTAGTGTGTACCACAGAGCAAGGAATCACCATATAAATGTACCTATTTTGTATGAACACAAATGCAAATTAGGTTATATTTGTTAATGTATACAAAAAAAGTATCAAGGCAAAGGAAACAAAATATAATGCTATAGGTACGTACCAAATTTAAATCTATGCACATGAAATAAGAGTCCAATTGTCAATGCACTTTTTAAACTACACACTACACTGATACAGTGTATAATAACATATAATGCATACAAAAACACAGCTCTTGTTACAAACGCATCGGCGGTAGAATATAAACTGAGCGAGCGAAACGCAGCGTGCCGAGGTAAACACTATTATACAAATTTAATTGTAGATAATTAAGCGAAAACCACAATAGTGACGTCCGCGCGCCATTATCGGGCGTTACACGACGTTTTTCCGAGAAAAGCTATGGGCAAGGTTTCTCTGTCTATTCGTCTCAATTAAGTTAATGTAAGAGTATTGGGCACGGGATACGGACACTGACGGAGAGCTTTGCACTTACTGGCTTTTATTTTATTCTTGTATTATTAAAAAAAAAAAAAACATTAACTTACGTGTACTATTTAGTGTTACCATTACATAAAAATAACTTCATAAGATTTTTATGCATTGTCTCTGTATTACACACTAACAAACACATAACTAGTTTTGACTTGCGGTTTCGCTCGCGTTAATATTGATTTTGTTCAACAATTCTGATTGTTGGTATAGGTTTCTACATACAAAATAATTACAAAAAGAAACCCATCTCCTTTAAAGAGTAGTTTAAACAAAGAAATATGTATACTTTAATTATGAATTATAAATAATAATTCTGCAATGTTTTAAGCAAATCGGATGACGCAAAAAAGTTTTATCCATACAAAAATTACCTCTCCATCACTTCATTCCCTTTAAGTTTTTCGCAAGACAAAAGTCATTTGATAAAGTTGTATGTCCAAGTCATAAGAATTGGCAACACGTAAATTATGTTTTTAGAATTTTTTTTTACAACACATGGGCATACGAGCATGCGGCTCACCTGATGACAAGTGACTACCGCTGCCCATGATCACCCACAACACCAACGTCATTGCAGATGTGCTGCCGGCCTTTTAAAAAGGAATATACTCTTTTCTTGAAGGTTATGACGTATTTATGGCTTGCAGTAGCTATTAAATGGACTTGTTTTTGATGGGTGAAAATGGTATGGTAACCCCGCCTGCGCTAACGGGATATGCTGGCGGAGCACCAGTGAAGGGTGATAGATGAGAATGAAAACAGGCCAGTTAGTCCATCATGATGAATTCATCAGGAATTAACCATGATAGTTTCCAGGGGGAACCGCGAGGAGGTCGACCTGGTTGGGTATATTGCTAGCAATGGGATTCTCAGTCTCCATTACTAACAATTTCTTTCCCCCCTATTAAATGGACTATATGTTTTATTATTGCATAGGTATTTATTAAAAACAAGACATTTTAAGACTCTATCATAAATTTTAAAATTTGATAATAGAATGAAATTTAATAAGCCATGGCATAAGGATTTATGTCGGCCACACACGATAAACCAATATTATAGTAACGTATAATTAGAACTACAATGATCAATTGCAACTCATGTCGTGATTTATGGTAGCATATTTTTTTTTATACCATGAAGGTAGTGAACAAGCATACAGCCAGTGTAATGATAAACGGTTACTATACTTTTTTTTATACAACTTAGAATGGCAAACAAGCTGACGGCCCACCTGATGGAAAGTGGTAACCGTCGCCTATAGACACGAGCAGTATCATGTACATAACAGAGTATACAGTTTCGCCTATGATACCTCTCATGCGTTGCCATTTCTGAGGACTCAGGTGTTATTCCTCTGTACCCTGTAAATTCATGCCATATCCCACCCTTCAAACCGAAACACAGCCATGCAAACACAGCTGCTTCACGGTTGAAACACGAATGGGACAGAGGTACCCAAGCAATCGACTTTTGTACAAAGTCTCCCTCTGGTGTAACCTATAAACACTTGCAATTATCGCTGAATTTTCATATCAATCTACAAAAGCACTAATTTAATTGTTCAATAGCCATAATTACATTAATTTACATATTTTTTTATACTATGAAGATGGTAAACAAGCATACAGCCTGTCTGGCGGTAAACGGTTACTGTATCTTATGAACGTCTGCAACACTAGGGGTTACGTGTTGCCAACCTTGAAGAAATCTTAATACACTCTTTTTGATGCACCCCACACTGTCTCTAGGGAAAACCTCGACAAGGAGTTTATTTCAAAGCCTGTTTGTGGGAGAAAACGTATTCAGGGTAATGTACTCGTATGTAGTTGGAGACTAGAGTTTCAATTTACATTACCAGGTATTTGTCGTTGCAATTCCAAGTGTCAAGTTTACGCTGTATTAATGAAAATTCTCGAGTGTATAATGCTGACTTGATATACTGACATCATTGTTTGCAATTTGATACTCTATGTACGTACCTACCTAGTCTGTACCTATAGCTTCTATTTTATAATAAAGTTTGCTTTTAAAATATTTTTTTTCGTATTTACCATTACGTTCTAATTATTCATGACTACTATCATACTTTAGTCGAGGTGAGACTACACTAGTAGTATTACGTGGATATTAATTACCTAAACTGCCCACTATTGCAGGCGCAGGAATTTCGCGACTGACTCTTGGCCACAACAGAATATCAGCGTTTTGCTCTTTTAAGGGCAAAGCAATAAACTGAGGCAAAGCAATAAACTGAGTTGTGACCATTTTGTGTTACTATAGCACACGTATGAAGGAAAGGAAAGAAAGGAAATTGTTAGTTTATATATTTTGTTTTTTTTTTTTTTTGTTTTATTGCTTTTTTATTTTCATTCTTTTATCTCTTTTACTGTGTATTATGTGTATGTTTTTTTTATTGTAATTTGTGTGCTGTAAGTAATGTAAATAAATTATCTATCTAGCTATCATCTATCTATTGGACACGAGTTCCTCTCCAGAAGAGGCAATGTAAATTTCTGTGGGCACAACTCAGAACACTCAGACTCGAACCATTTCAAATTAGTTTGTTTCCTAAATTAGCCTGACCGGGAATAGAGGTCAGGATCACATTTATGCAAAGTAACGTGCCCACTAAGTGGTGGCCCATTCCTTGCCTTATAGTCCCAGCATAGAAAGGGCTATCCCATCCATTCCCGTGAGTGTCGTAAAAGTAAAAGTCGATTAAGGGAACTTAATACTTGAGGCAGCATTCTCTCTCTTAAACATCACCAATAGTCAAACTGCGGTTGCCAATACGCCTGCCAAACCAAACAACTACGGGCAGGACACTCCTTATTAGGAAGGCCTATGTTCAATAGCGCCCAACTTTGCGACGGGGAGGTCTGTTACTTATTAAAGAGTTTTCGAGTCCCTTACACTGACATATTGTGCATTTCTCTAGTTTCTTTAGGAGTCGTTATTATTAGCAATACCCGGGCAGATAACCGCCACATCGTTCCCGTGAAAACCACAATGATTCCTGGAGAATTCGCCTTTAAAAGACATGACTTTGTTCTCACCTATTTTCGTTTAATGGCTAATAAATGGAATGGCAACCCAGAATACACTATCGGTGTTGCCACTAGTTCTCGAGATAGCGTAGTCGAGGGTTACCAATTTAAAAAAAGAACATTAGTATAGGCGGGAGTGACATTACATTTTTTATAATAAAAAAAAAAAAATCCTACAACAGATAAAAATACACAATGTAGTAAATAAGACCAGTTCTGTCAATTATATGCACGATCTGCTTGTCTGCGCGTGTGCTAATCACATTATATAACAAATACGATAGGTTGTGTGTACTTAACTACTTAGGTACCTATACAATTATGCACACGGTACTAAAACGTGCGTCTTAAGAGGACTGGAAGCAGAGGATTTGTTTTTCAATGGATGATAATTAAATGGCTGTCGGTATACGTTGACTTCATCTTCAGGATGGTCAGATCACTGGCCCATCGTGGTGAATTCACTAGGTAGGAACACATCATAGGTTCACATAGTGGGATATCAGCGAGGATCAACTGCAGGCGTATTTAATAGGAGCCAAGTGGTTGCGCCCTCCCAGAATCGATTGATGCCCACCTCTGGATCCGAGTGAACTTCTCAGCTGAGAGTACATATGTGACTTTTGTAAAGGGCTGGAAAATTATCTAAAACATGCCAAAGAGATAAACTAAATTCAGTTGAACCATTGTGATGAATTAACCACAATAGTTTTTAGGAGACACTGCGTCAAGATTAATTTGACAGATATAGCAGAAGATATTGCTGGCTGGCTGGTTTCTCCAAATCAAATATTCTTTTATTGAATTGCCATTATGAGCGTGCATTGCGTAAACAACTTACAGCTTTACAAATTTGTAAAAAACACCTCGCCAGTATTTAATCAATGTCTAGCTAATCAGTGACTAATCTTTAAAAAAAAAAAAACAATCATTCAAGCATTATCCAAAAGAAAAAAGAGTGCCATTACCCGCAAAACATACGGAACAATTGAGAACAAATTCTTCTGTATTTTTTTGTGCCTTTGCACAATTACGTCGCCAATTCTGAAACTATTTCAATTGTTTTGTTTGCAATCGATAGAGTATATATTTGTGTTGATCCCGTGTTAATTTTGATGTCTATTAAAAATTATATTTCTACTACTTTCATTAGAATTACTGAAAATTTGTACTTTTTACTAGATATAAATTGGCAACACTCTCGCCCATTCGCAAAAAGATTTTTTTTTTACAACACAGGGGGCAAACGGGCATGCGGCTCACCTGATGGTAAGTGACTACCGCCGCCCATGATCACCCACAACACCAGCGGCGTTGCAGGTGTGCTGCCGGCCTTTTAAAAAGGAATATACTCTTTTCTTGAAGGTTATGTTGTCGTATCGGTTCGGAAATACTGTTGCTGGAAGTTGATTCCAAAGAATGGTGGTGCGTGGAAGAAAGTGCCTTGAAAAACGCACGGTGGAAGACCGCCACTCGTCCAGATGATTGGGATGAAACTTTAGTTTGTGACGGGTTGTATGGTGGTGGAAATCAGCAGCAGAATTCCACGACCAGATCAACTTGGTTATGTTCGTGCCGACTCGAACAACTACTAACGAATGAAATTAATAGCCGAATCATATTAGTACACAGACGACATTAGTGATTTTAAAATCATTCAAATAATGCTAATGTTTCAGGTCACACAGTTGAACACTCAGGTTATGGAATGAGGTCCCTGCCGAGGTTTTCCCAAGAGATTACAGCATGGGGTTCTTCAAATGAGGGGTAAAGAGGTTTTTTCAGGGTCGGCAACGCGCGCGTAATAAATACCTCTGGTATTACTACGGTAACCACTTTCCATCAGGTGGACCGTATGCTTGTTTGCCACCTCAGTGGTATAATATAATAATTAGTAGTTGGATTACTAAAGTCGCGTATCGTTAATCTAAGCATACAACATCTTGTCATTAGTGTTTTTACACTTTACGACTTAGAATGGCAAACAAGCTGACGGCACACCTGATGGGAAATGGTAACCGTCGCCTATAGACATGAGCAGTACCATAGACATGACAGAGTATACTGTTTCGCCCACGATACCACCTATGCGTATACACATAATACACAATGATAATAGCTGGTTTTTTTTTGCAAAATAAAAAGAAAAATATTTATTCATCTGTCGTTTAATATTAAGATTAAAGTTTACAAGAAAAGTTGTTGCTATACCGACAGCGTTGTCAGTACTAGTAACAAACAGACATTACGCGCTTTATTTACATCATGAAACACTTGTACCGGCCTATTTACTTTAAAATATCATTTGTTAATAAATATTATCAATATTAGCTTGTTGGAGCGGTCCGACTGATAATAGGATCGTTTAATGGTAGCAATAAATAAGCGATATACCTACTCACTTCCAAATAGTCTGCCGGACTCTGGTCGGCCATAATAATTTGTATGACTCCGGCTGTTTCATTTGCAAGTTCTTTGTCTGCGCCAATCAATACGATAGTTAGTACCAGATAGTGGCACTAATTGTTTATTCCTTCAACTAGAAAACTTTGTGTTACATTTATTTAATTCTTTAAAACGCCAAACGTAAAATCTATATTAATATAGCAAAGCGGAAGAGTATGTTTGTTTGAATGCAGTAGTCTCTGGAGCTGCAAGTCGGATTTAATTTTTTATTTGCTTATTCGAGTAAATTGAATATTTTTTTATTTAATGCTCGTTACTTTGCACTATGTGAACAAGGCTTTGAAAAATGACTAATGTAAGTCGAGCGGCAGCGTTAGTCATTTATTTAACCAGTGTTGCCAGATTTTTCGTAATTTTCGGTAAAAATTTTCTCCACGCAAAATTTTGGAGAAATTAAGTTCTCAGAGAAATTATTGGAGAAAAGTCAAATGGGCTTGGAGACTTTTGGGTAATTTTGTTGGAAATTTTGGATAATAGTTTTAGTATATGTAAACTCTGTACAGGTATATAATAAAGACAGAAAGAATAACTTTTTAAAAACCGATATAAGTTGTCATTAGATAAAAGTCTCGGAAATCGTATTGATTTGGAAAAAAATATTTAACGTTCAAAATTGGCATCTAGTAACCCTGCTCTTAACAAAACCGTAATAATAAGGATTTATTCTTATAAACTTACGTAGAAATACACAGTAGCTATGAGCGAATCCGACTACCAAATTAGTAATATACTAATTTCCGTATTCAAATAATTTTACTAATTAGTAACCAATTATAACGAAGTATTTACACTGTATCTGCTACTACTATATCACTACGTCGATGATAACAAGCGACACCCAAAAAAAAAAAACATAAATTTTCTATCATCTACATTCATTTCGTCGCAATTTTGTAATTTTTGCTACCAGTTTATTTTCTTTTACTTTAATGACTACTATCGATAATTGGTCATTTTTATAACATTTACATTGGCAACACTCTTGCCTATTAACGAAAAGATCGATTCGGCTATGTTCGTCTCAAATCGTACATCAATAACTACTAATAAATGAAATTAGATAAATAAAATTTGTAGTCGAATAATTTGAAAACCATTCGAATAATCCGAATGGTTTGCTCAGTCGAATAATTAGTACCTGGTCGAATGAGTTAAGTCGCGTATCGATAATATACAGTAATGATCACATGTCCAGTCGCTTTGCCTAACTGTCTTTCCTATTGTAGAGTTCACACACTTTGAACAATGTAAATCGGTCCTAATGCTTTGTTTACACTCATCTCGTCTTCGCACTAATGAGGCATAGAAGTGGGCAGTAAGAATCGTATAAATAAATCACTTGCGCTGGCACTGGTCGTGCAACTGTATTTCAAACAACTTCATCAAGGAAAAATGTCATTTGATCCACGTGTAGACCTAAATTACTATTATTATGGCCAAATTATGGATATTAGTAAACGGAGCACGAGTGACTGTTTACATTACACTATCTGGTCATTTGTCATTAATTAAACAAGGCGTAAATAAGTACACGCCGATAACGGCTTGATTTGTGGTTAGTAAATTATCGTTTCAGTTTGCGTTTACATTGTTGCAGAGGGATTGTTAGTAACGGGAGCGCTAGGCCCCAGCGCTAACAGTGCACCCTGTAAAGCGCTCCTCGCGATCTTTCTCGGAAACCATTTTGGCAAATTCCTAGCAAATGATCCAAGTGATCAAAATACCATCTTCACAGCTTCATCATTGGCCGGTGTTTAGTTACATTTTTTCGGTGATTTTATAATATTTTTGGGTATGGGAGAAAGGGATTGTTAGTAATAGAGACTGAGAATTCTATTGCTAGCAATATACCCAACCGGGTCGACCTCCTCGCGGTTCTCACTGGAAACTATCATGGTTAATTCCTGATGAATTCATCATGACGGGCTAACTGGCCTGTTTTCATTCTCATCTGTCACCCTTCACCGGTGCTCCGCCAGCGTATCCCGTTAGCGCAGGCCATTACCATGCCATTTTCACCCATCAAAAAAAATATTTTTGGGTATTTCACGAAATTTCTAATATCCTCATTTCCATGCGACGTAGTCGCTATGTCAAGCAGACCTATAATCAACACAATGCATGTATATATATATATATATATATATATATATATATATATATATATATATATATATATATATATATATATAGTATGTATGTGTACTACTTAAAGTATGATGGCGCAATAGAGAATAAATAAATAAAATAGATATGTAATGTTAATTATAGAATAGCCCTTTACTATTTTATCTATAGCAGATAGCAAGGAAACGAGTTGACTGACATCACAAAATGTACTTTAACAATATCACAATAAGAATTATTCTTCATAGCAACACACGGGTCGTTTTCTTTCAGTTTTATCACAATTTTATATATGGTTAGACATGAGCCGTACTTTATTGATGTTGTAGGCGTAACTCTTAAAGGTACATTTTATTATTTATTCTACTTACTAAGAGTGGAGTCCAAAATTATATTTACCTGAAACAGAAAAAAAATTAACGGTTAGAAAATATCTAGAATATTCCAGTAATAGGTTAAGGGATAATGCCATTTTGAACAAGTTATTAATTCACTTTTGCGCCACCTACCCACTCCAATTTGTTCTCCTTTAAGAAATTGCCCTAACAATAAAACTATCTTTTGTACCATTATGTATATATATTTTAATTTTTTTGATGAAAAAGTATCAACAAAATCTATTCAGAATTGATAAAGATATCGCGTGACATGGCGTACACGCAAAAAAATTGCCTAACATATGTTTTTTTTTAAACGTTTGCTTTGCTTTTAAAAATTTTAATACCTACTTGATAATTTTTATCATAATATAAACCAAGGATTCTCAAAGTGGTCGATATCGACCCCGCGGGGTCAAAATCAGTTTCCCAGAGGTCAACATAGACGAAAACAAATTTTGGAGATCGACGAGAATTAAAATAAGACCTGTATTAATTAATACAGAAATCTTATTTGAATCTTTTAAGATGCTACAATTTTATTATTATAATGTTAGTAAGATTACTTTCAGACTTGTAGACATAGACAAGAAATTTAAATACAGTAGTAAAAAAAAATATGGGCTAGTAAACTGTCGACTGTTTTTTGATACGTGACACTTCATATAAAAGTGTGTCATCCAGTACCAGCGTCTGACCAATAAGGTACATAACATAACGTCCGGTTTACTGTATATAATTATTTTTCGAGTATTAGGTACTCGTTCAACCTTCCCCAGTCCCGGATAACCTTTATAAATATGTTAATAACAGAGAAAGGTCGAATAAATGGTGAGTTAATGTTAACTGAAACCGTTTTAAAGATGTGCTCTACCACAAATTGTTGATTCTTGATTCCAGTGCATCGTATATTTGGAAATATTTGATTCCGTTTTATTTAATAGTGATCGTTGATACGTATTATTGGCAGTTCCATACTATTTTCTATATTTTTTAATTTACTAAGTAGTTTTTTATACTGTGTGAATTTACTGGGTACGGAGAAATAACACCTGAGTCCTCAGGAATGGCAACACATGGGGGTATCATGGGCGAAACAGTATATTCTGTTATGTCCATGGTACTGCTCATGTCTATAAGTGACGGTTACCACTTTCCATCAGGTGAGCCGTCAGCTTGTTTGCCATCCTTTTGTATAAAAAAAATCTATACTTATAATAAATCTGTAGAGAGGTCAATTCTGTACATAGAAATATATTTCCAAAATAACTATCAGGGGGTGATTAGTGATCGATACTGATGCCACAAATGCAATCAGTAAAATTTTTGTCTGCCTGCCTGTATGTCCGTTATAGAAACAAAAACTACTCGACGGATTTTAACGAAACTTGGTAGTTATTCTTCATACTCGTGGGCAGGTTATACTCGTAGTATACTTTTCATCACGCTACGATCAATAGGAGCAGAGCAGTGAAGGGAAATGTTAAAAATGTCCACCCGTGCGACGCCGGGACGGGCCGCTAGTTCTTGAATAATATTGTAGCTTAATTTATTGTTTTTTTTTTTTTTTATATCTACTACTACTGCTATGGCAACGCATGGGCGAAACAGTATGTGTGTGTACTGTTATGTCCATGGTACTGCTCATGTCTATAGGCGACGGTTACCACTTTCTATCAGGTGGGCCGTCAGCTTGTTTGCCATTCTAAGTTGTATAAATATATATATATATACAGGGTATATAGCTACCAATGGGACTTTTAAACCCCATTACTAACAGTCACTATTCCCTCCATAAGTGTAAATTCCAATTACTACCGCTAAACTTGTATGGAGGGGGGAATGGGATTGTTAGCAATGGAGTTTGACAGCTCCATTGCTAGCAATAACCTATTAGGTCGACCTCCACGTGGTTCCCCCTGGAAACCGTCGTGAACAGTTCTTGTTGATTTCGTCACGATGGGCTAACTGACCTGCTTCATCCTCACCTATCACCGCTCACTGGTGCCCCGCCAGTGTATACCGATAGCGCAGAGGGGGTAACCATACCATTTTCACGCATAAAAAAAAAATCTCTCTCTGATTTTCAGTTCGTCCAGAATGGGAACGTTAATTCGAAAGGTAGTCCAAGGTATTTGCAGCAGTCGTCGCCATATATTGATACGTACGTGTTAATATTTATTTGCGACAATTTTCAATTTTTTATAACCGCATAATTATAATAGTTTTAGAGTGCTGTTGGGGCTACCTCGCTTTTGTAGCGCTTCTAGCATGTTTGCTCAATCTCGCGTAGATGATTACTATGCTATAAGGAGAAAGAGAACTGCATCATTGCTACACAGGGTTAGGACAAGCACCAACAGCATTCTAAAAGTAATAGGCGATAAATATAACTCGCCTATAATTGGACATTTCATTCAGATGCTGTTTAGTCGGCTGGCTCACATCTGAGTGAACTGCTTTAATTAATTTGCTTTTATTTTTTACTAACATAGTTTGTAAGAAAACTGTTACTAACAAAATGGACCAAATTGTAGTGTGAGTAATAAAGTATAATTATGTTATTATAATTAAGTTTCTGTTTTGCCAAAGGTTGACTGGGAGAGAATGCTATATAGTATTAAGTCCACCTTTTGTACCAGACATTTTTTTTTTATATGTGATCAATAAAGAATGAATAAATAAATAATAATACTAACACATCGTACTGAAATGGAGTACCATTATTTACTTTTAGATCTAGAAGTATCACATCGCACTACGAGTATAAGCGAATCGTCCCAGTTACACGCGGTGCATTCGCAAGGTTGCAGCAAATGCAACACAGATGCGATGCGCGTGCGCCCACGTCACTGTAAACATTTTATAATTAACTACCTACATATACCTAGATATGCCACTATCATATATATCTACTATCATACTATAGTAACTTTTTTTTATACAACTTAGAATGGCAAACAAGCTGACGGCCCACCTCATGGAAAGTGATAACCGTCGCCTATAGACATGAGCAGTACCATGGACATAACAGAGTATACTGTTTCACCCATGATACCCCCCATGCGTTGCCATTCCTGAGGACTCAGGTGTTATTCCTCCGTACCCAGTAAATTCACGCCATATCCCACCCTTCAAACCGAAACACAGCCATGCAAACACAACTGCTTCACGGTTGAAACACGAAATGAAAATTAGCCTATCGTGATGTATATATCTGGAATTCAGCACGATGGTTTTCAATGGGGACCACATGGAGGTCGACCTGACAGGGTATTTTGCTAGAAATAAGACTGGTAGTCCGTATTACTAACAATTCCCTCCCCCCCCCCCCTCGGAATCTGTACAAAATCATCAGCGTAGGTACTCGCGACTCCAAGCAGTTTACCTTCTAAGTTTTGATTTGGGAGGAGAAGGGATTGTTAATAATGGGGATTAGTAGCCCCGTCGCTAGCAATACAGGTCGACCTCTTCTCGGTTCCCCCTGGAAATCATTCTATTCTGTTCCAAGAGAATTCATCACGATGGGCTTTCTGACCTGCCTTTTCATTCTCATCAATCATCCCTCACTGGTGCATCGCCAGCGTATATCGTTACAGCAGGCGGGGTTACTATTTCATTATCATCCAATTGGAAAAAAGGTATGGTTTAAACCGCAGCTTGTACAGTTTATGTCACTAGATCTTAATGAATAAACAAATTATTTAATTAATTAATGAATAAATAAACAAACAAACGAATAATTGACACAACCATAAAACAAACTGCTGGTGTCCAATGGTAGTAATGAAAAATCAATTGATTTATAACTAATTTAATTTAGAATGTTTCTGTTATATTTTCAACAAGACTTGCTTATTTTTACTTTAAGTTCCATCAATCGGAATAGTTTATTTATTTATTCATAATATATTACGTATTTTTTGCAAGGTTTACAGATTTATCAATGCACTCACCAAAAATTAATAAATGGAACATTATAAATACGATACAATAACGGAAAAATAATAATAGTGATAAAAAATAAATGCAATTATGCCATAAAAAATAAACATTCAAAATGCATTTGTGCGTAATTTGTTACCGCTCTGCGAAAGTCTGTGGCAGTACAGTAACAGTTACAGATCTACATACTAAATAATATTACAAGAACATTGATGTTTTTTTATACAATTTAGAATAGCAAACAAGCTGACGGCCCACCTGATGGAAAGCGGTAACCGTCGCCTATACACATGAGCAGTACCATGGACATAACAGAGTATACTGTTTCGCCCATGATACTCCCCATGCGTTGCCATTCCTGAGCTGGCTGTTATTACTCTGTACCCAGTAAATTCACTGCCATATTCCACCCTTCAAACCGAAACACAGCCATGCAAACACAACTGCTACACGATAGAAACACGAATGGCACAGAAGCGCCTAAGCAAACGACTTTTGTACAAAGTCTCTCTAAATGTTTATAGCAATAGCCTGCCTGGCATTAGAAGCGGCTCTGATATATCTGGAGTCGGATTAAATACCAGTAATATAATTTTGTATGTAAGCATTTTTTTTATAGATGAAAATGGTATGGTAACCCCGCCTGCGCTAACGGGATACGCTGGCGAAGCACTAGTGAAGGCTGATAGATGAGAATGAAAACAGGCCAGTTAGCCCATCATGATGAATTCATCAAGAATTAACCATGATAGTTTCCAGGGGGAACCGCGAGGAGATCGACCTGGTTGGGTATATTGCTAGCAATTCTCCATTACTAACAATCCCTTTCCCCCCTGTATGTAAGCATTAGGGTTATAACATTGATTTGGTTTTTACTGTCATAATGTTATAACTATTTTAATGAATAAATTAATATTTTTTTTACTGGATGATAATGGAATGGTGGGGTCACCACCTGCGCTATCGGTATACACTGGTCGGCCACCAATGAGGGATGATTGGTGAAGAAGAAAAGGCAAGTCATTTAGCCCATCATTAGATAAATTAGTCACGATGGTTTCCAGGGGGCACCGCGTGGAGGTCACCCTGATAGGGTATATTTATAGCAATGGGGACTAACCTCCTCATTACTAACAATCCCTTCCCTCATGTATTATTATAGATAAGTACCACACAATCACATTAATAGCCTGATCTGAAGCTAGGACCTTGTATTATGAGCATCCAAGCAAAGTACCACTGGCGGCATAGCCAAGAACAATCAAACCAAAGTAATTCAAAAAAGTTCGATTCCTAAATTGATCCAAATGGGAATCAAAACAGGGAACTTATTTACGTAAAGCTACGTATTTACCACTGTGCAAATTGAGTGAACATTTAAGAGGTATCATGAGTCATGACCCAAATTATTTTTATTACAGGAGTGGGTTAGGCTTCGGTAGCCGCATACTGTCAGTGTATTTGTTATGTAAAACCAAACTACAAAGGTGACGAATACAAACACTTGATTACCCGCACAACTCTCAAAACACAAAGAGCGCATTCTAATCTCGGCGTGTAGCCAGGGCCGGATTATTCACCAGGCAATGTAGGCGACCTCCTAGGTGTCCCCGCAAGGGGCCCCGCGCCCAGATAAAACTTTTTTTTTCGACAAAATTTCTTTAAATTCATTTATTTATTTACTAATACTTTATTGTACACAAAAATTACATTGTTATATAATATTTTATTTTGCATAAAGATGTAACAACAGGCGAGCTTAACTCTGTCAGAGTTCTCTTCTAGCAAACCATGAATGGAAAGGAGCATTAGTTAAGTGAAATTTATTTGTTAAAATTTATATTTAATAAACTATGAATGAAAATATTATCACTTTGTTTTCTTTTTATATTACATTGTCATATTTCAATATATTTCGTAACACGTTTAAAGTTATTATATGTAAAATAATATAATAGACCTATTGAAGTCAGAAAAGACAAAATGTTAGGACATTTGATACGATACAACGAATATATAAACATTATAATTGAAAGCAAGAAGAAGGAAGGCGAGGAAAGGAAAGACCAAGGCATAGTTACATCAGATAGATCAAGGAAAAATTGTTGTCGTGTCGTATCAAGAAGTGAAAAGACTCGTTGAAAATCATAGTGAGTGGCAAGGGCTCTATCAACAATAGCGCAGTTCTGAAACAGGAAGTAATAATATAACATTATTAGCTGACTCGGTAAACGTTGTTTTACCATATACATTATTTCGAGAACTATACATGAAAATTTATCCTACTACAATTATTATATTCGATTGCCATCTTGCAACCCTATTGTGACATATAAAAGTCGCGATTAAAGAACAGAAGTTGATCGTAAAAGCGTGAAAATTTGTATTTGTATGTATTTTTAATGCAAAATTATAATAGAATAAAAAAAAAAAATGTTAAAAAAATATATAGGGGTAGATCACCCTTATCATTGAGGGGTATGAAAAATAGATGTTGGCCGATTCTCAGACCTACCCAATATGCACACAAAATTTCATAAAAATCGGTAAAACCGTTTCGGAGGAGTTTGGTATCAAACAGACTATGAATAAAAATAAATATTGTTTTAATTATTTGTCGTGTGCCAATAAACCTAAGATAATTACATGCTAAAAAAAAAAACACCGCGACACGAGAATTTTATATATTGAATTATTTGTAAGCATTGTCTAGGGGTCCCGACATGCCGGCCATGCCTTAATTCGGCCCTGCATGTACCTTTAAAGTACAAATGTGTCACATTGTCGAAATAAAAGTTAAACGTAGCACTTTGTCAAATGCGTACTTCCAACTCTGTTCACTATTTGAGCGTAAACATTGTCTAATTACAAAATAAATACACGAGAGTTTGATTATCGGGCACTCGAGACGGGGTCGTTACTCTCACTTGCAGACGGTCTAACATATTATATTTATAATATTGTTATGCGCAGATATAAGCTGCGAAACATGACTTATATTTGCGCAAACAAATTTGTACCTAACTTGAGAACAAAGACGTTTTATTTTTAAACGACTTTGAAAAGGAGGCTCTCGATTCTACAGTATTATTTTGGTTATATCCATTCTGAACCGATTTGATTGATAATCTTTTTGCAATCGATTGCAGTTACTTTTGTATTGAATTCATGTTATTGAGAGGCATAATGTAAGACACTCGATCTATGTATATAAAGATCTAGAGTTCTAAATTTGAATACTGGGTGGAAATGAATTGTTAGTAATGGAGACTGAGAATCCTATTGCTAGCAATATACCCAACCAGGTCGACCACCTCGCGGTTCTCCCTGAAAAATTCATCATGATGGATTCATCATGATGGGCTAACTGGCCTGTTTTCATTCTCATCTATCACCCTTCACTGGTGCTCCGCAAGCGTATACCGTTAGCGCAGGCGGGGTTACCATACCATTTTCACTCATAAAAAAATTTTTAATACTTTCAACTAACTTTTTTCACGCTAACGAATATTGAATTTCAAAAATACAAATTAAATAAACCATATCTACGAATACATGGAGTACGTATCAAGTTACAATGAAGTTAGAACTTGAAAGAGCACAACAATTTTTATGTTACATTTATTAATAGGCAATGCCCTGTTCATTATATATAGGTATTGTTGTAACTAATTATGGTATACTGTTCAGAAAGATAAATAAAGGAATATAATTATGTAATCTTAACACACAGTCCATACACAAATCCATTCAGTAATATCGTACACCCATATTTAGAGGGAGACTTTGTACAAAAGTCGATTGATTGAGTACCTCTGTCCTATTCGTGTTTCAACCGTGAAGCAGTTGTGTTTTCATGGCTGTGTTTCGGTTTGAAGGGTGGGATATGGCGTGAATTTACTG